ACAGAGAGAAAGAGAGAGAGAAGAGGGAGAGAGAGAGAGACAGAGAGAGATAGAGAGAGATACAGAGAGAGACAGAGAGAGAAATAGAGACAGAGAGTGAGACAGAGAGAGACAGAGAGAGAGACACAGAGAGAGAGAGGACAGAGAGAGAGAGAGAGAGAGGAGAGACAGAGACACAGAGAGAGAGAGAGAGAGGAGAGAGAGACAGAGAGAGAGGACAGAGAGAGAGAGGAGAGAGACAGAGAGAGAGGACAGAGAGAGACAGAGAGAGATAGAGATAGAGAGAGACAGAGAGAGACAGAGAGAGGACAGAGAGAGAGAGAGACAGAGAGAGAGAGACAGAGAGAGAGAGACAGACAGAGAGATAGAGACAGAGAGAGAGAGAGACGGAGACAGAGAGAGAGACAGAGAGAGTGAGGAAGCACGTGAGGGTGCATAAGTCCCTGGTTTGGCGGCAGCAGGCAGAGCGGGGCCGTGCTCTGACCCGTCCCGGTGCCTTGATCTCACAGACTTGCCTCCACCCTCCGCCCCCCCCTCCACCGTCCGCAGCTCCGGCTGATGGGTTTGCAGAGTGCCCTGGGGTAATTGGCGTCTTAATGGGGAAACGCCGTTCCCAAGTGTCAGCATAGCAATGAGACACCCAGGGCCGTGGACGCGGTGCCTGGCTGATTAAAGGTGCTCCCCCGTCAGTCAGCCTCGGCCTCGGAGCCCGGCCCAGGCTGGCACAGGGCTGCTGGGTGCCCGGATCTTGCCAGGCGCTGCCCGGGAACTAATGATCAGACGGCTGTCCCCATTCAGACGCACACACAAAGGGCCCAGGAGCAGATGCCTCGTCTGTCACTCTCTCGATTCACGCTTCCCCCCCCCCCCCAACAGGGCTGGGCTCAGGTGAGGGCTTGGAGGGCCACCGGAGACAACAGGGACAGTGTCAGCTGGCTCTTAGGATGGAGTGGGAGGTAACCCAACGGGGCGTCCTGCTCCAGCGCAGCCCGGGGGCAGCTGGCGGCTCCTGGTGAGGGGCTCGGGGCCCTCGGCTGGGCCAGCAGGGCTGGGGCTGCACCGTGAGCTCCGGCAACCCAGGCGCCTGGCGAGTGCCACCGTAAGACGGCTCCTCCCGTGAGACTGTATCACGCACCCACGTCACGCAGTCTCCTCCGTGGCTGTCCCCTCGCTGTGCTGAAGAGGAAGCAGGGTGGGCAGAGGCCAAGAGGCTGGTCCAGGCCACTCAGAAACTAGAAATCAGACTCCAGCCGTCTGACCGCGAGCCCAAGGCTCTTGCCACCGCCCCAGGGGACAACCGACTGGGGGTGTGCACTTGCCCGGATTCAAGGACACTGAGAGGTGGGAAGGCTGTTTACTCCCTGGGCTTCCGCAGGCCCCGAGTCCACCCTGCCCTCACTGCCAGGGAAACACGGCGGTCTGGGTTCGAGTCAGATGACTGGGCTGCCCAGGTGTGCCTGCACGTTTGAGGACATTGCCAGAGGAGGTTGGCGTGGAGCGTGTGGACTGAGGGGACACCCACCCTCGTTGTCTGGGGTCCTGGCTGGAACGAAAAGGAGGAAGGCAGGCCAGGCAGCAGCGCCCCCAGTTCTGAGGCTTTCAGACCTGCACTGAGCCTCTCGGGCCTCCAGCCTCCCTGGGCCTCCAGCCTCCCGGGGCCTCCAGCCTCCCGGGGCCTCCAGCCGGCCTCCGCCTCTCCGCCATACCAGTTCTCTCTGGAGAATCCCGACCAACACACCCGCCCTCCGTGCGGTCGGTCCTTCAGACGTGGGGAAGACGCACTTCTGTGCCTGCTGTGGACGTGTGTCCTGCATGAAAGAATGTTTCCTGGTGCCAGCGGTGGCGTCCAACTCAGGGCCTCCTGCCCAGCTGGAGCCAAAGACCTGTTGGTTCTGACTTCCACGACAGGGTTCTGGCCACCGCCCTGGGGGAGCATGGCCTCGGGGCGAAGTCAGAGCCCAAGGACTGACCGAGGGGCCTGGGGTGGGGCTAGTGGGCTTCCCCAGCAGGCCTGGCCCCCAGGGGGAAGATACCAGGGCCCGGGCGCTGCGGGGGACAGGTGGCTCACTCAGGGAGGGCCTGGTGGCCATGTGGCCCAGGACTTCGCAGAGCTGGGGGGTAAGGCAGCAGGAAGGGACAGACCCGGGCGGGCACCAGCTGAGCCCTCTCCTCCATACACGGGGAGGGGATGGGAGGGGACAGCGATCCCCAGTACCCAGAGCAGGCGGCTGCATGGAGTGGGCACCCGTCGGCCTGCTCCTCCCCGTGGGCCAGGGCCCAGCCTCAGGAGCTGGCAAAGAGCCAGGAGCCGGCAGACCCCCGACCCCTTTCTCTCTTGCCTCCCCCCATCCCGCCCCTGAGTGGTGCATGAGCCAAACCCTGACCAACATCCTAGGGTAATGGACGGACGCGCGGCCGTGTCCAGGCTGCAGAGGAACGGGGCAGAGCCTCCCGCCCGGCAGGGCACTCGCAGCGGGAGGTACCTGCGGAACGTGTGCCCTGGGACCTGGCTCTGGGGCTGGGGGCACCTGGCCCTCCTTGTTGGGCTTTGTTGCACGACAGGAGGACCCGGGTCTCCTCCCGCCCCTCCGTTTGTTGTGAGGAGAAGATGAATTAACTGAAGACAGAGGAGGCGTGGAGGCCCGGCCCCTGCCCATCTGTCCCCCGCCTGCCTCCAGAAGGCCTGGTGCCGTGGTGTGCTCCCAGCCAGCCAGCGTCTTGGCCAGGAGCCCCCGGGGCTGAGCCCCCGGCCAGCAGACACAGACGCCCCACGCGCACCTATTCTGCACCTTCAGAAGCGAATGCCATCTGTGAGCACCTGCTGCACGCCTTGGTGGTGCCTTTCCGGCCTCGAGGGAAACGTTGTGTTGAACCTTCAGGTTGGCAACGGGGTCCATCACGGAGGACAACGAGACGCCAGGTCCCAGACAGACATGGTCCCCCAGGGGCTTATTAAGGGCAGGGGACCTGGTGTGCCACCAGCCCCAGCCCACACCCTCCCCAGCCCATTATTCCCACCCTCCTGCCCCAACTGAAGCCATGTGATGGGAACTAACCCTAACCCCCAAATGCCTCGCTGCCCGGGCCCCCACCTGTACTGAGATGCCGGCAGGGACCTGGCACTGTGGAGGACACATTCTTCCTTAAGCTTTCAGGTTCCGTAACAGGGGGGTGTGAATTAAACTAAGAAGACTGACAATGGAAAAGGTCCCTGGTTGTGAAATAGATATCACGCGCCACGGAGTCCACCGCAGAGGAGTGAAAATCCAAGAAGCACTTTGGCTTGCCGTTCTCATACCCTGTTAGCCAAGATCGTTTTGGGGTCAAGGGATGACAGTCGTGAGGAAGTAGCCAGGATGGTTTTAGTAAGGTCTGTTTATGCAGACTGAGCTGGGGTGGGCCCTCGTCCCGCCAACTCTTCCGTCCCCCCGTGCTGCATGTTCGGGGTCAGTCGCCAAAAGGAAGCAGCCTCTTGTATGGACTGTGGCATGAGGGCTGCGAGGGGTGACATCTCAGAGGCAGCTGGACAGAGGACTCCCACTGCCCGCGGTCCAGCAGGCTCAGGGGGAACTCTGCTGACCACGCCAGGGCAGAGAGGGACACGAGGGAGTGGGAGTGACCACGAGAGTGACCGCGTGGTGGGGACAGGTGACGCTCTCTACAGAGGGCTGGGTGGGGTGCAGGCACTCGGTGGATACGCAGGAGCCAGGGTGAAACAGGTGACCTCAGCACCCTGATGCTGGATGGGCCTGGAAAGGGGAGGGCGGTTCTGGAGACACGGAGGTGACGTGGGCTGCTCGGGAGGAGCCACGACCCCTGCAGGAGGCGGCCAGCCCAGAGCACCTGTAGAGGGGGAGACCGGGAGGAATTGGGGGATGGCAGCCCAAACCAGCGGCCAGGCAGCCCTGGGGGGAGTGCCGGAGGAGACCGAGGACGGTACCAGGCACGGTGACAACAGAACCGCGTCCGTCATGTGCCCCGTTCCAGCCCAGGGCCGAGCATCTGACGGGCGTTTGTTGACCGAGTCCTCGCCTGGCGTTGGCACAGCTTCTATTAACATGGCTAGGTCACAGGGGGTGACGACCCACCAAGGTGCCCGGCGGGAGTCCCCGACAGACGCACAGGAGGCCCGGATGAGCCACCCCAGAGCGGCCACCTTGGCCTGAGGACGGCGGGAGCTGAAGGCTTTTCCCCGGGCACAGACACAGGAGGGCTCAGAGCAGGACATCCGTTTCCAAAGGTGACCTTCCTCCCTGCTGCCCACCAGGAAGGACCGAGTTCACCACCAAAGACCACCTTGGGCCCTTGGCATGCAGAGGGCTCTGGACGTCCACTGACCATCGGCGCTGACCAGCCCTTATTAACTACTGATTCGCCCTCCCTCCGTTCCCTGTCCCACGAGGCCCAGAGTGCTTGGCCTTTGTCCAGTCACTCTGAAGACGCAGCCCGGGTGGCCCCGTGACCCTGGGATCGCAGCCAGCCCCACCTCCTTGGGAGCGGCCCGCTTCCTGGGACCTGCCACCTGTGCCCGAGGGCTGTGTGCTAAGTGTCTGTGTCCCTCTTGCTCATCTCCGTCCCAACTGGGAGCTCCGACCTCAAAGGGGGCATTATTCGTCCTTCCCTCATGGAACGAACGTGGCCATCTCCCAGGGACCCCGCCTTGGGACGGGACTCACCTGCGTCGTCATCTGTTTTCAAATGGCTCTCATTGAGAGAGGCAGACTCGGGTAGCCCTCCCCGGAGCGCCCTGGGATTCTCTGAAGGGACATCAGCCACTTCAAAGGCTCTCCTGGTCACTCTTGATGGCCACTCGGGAGTCTGGAGCTGGTCCCCCGCTCCCTGTGCTTCTCAGGCTTGGCCACCCTGGGTGCGGGAGGGAAGAAGGCGGGGGGGGGGGGGTGTTGCAGCAGAAGTCCCCTCTCCCAGGCTCGTCCTCCTGGGCCTGCCCCAGACGCCCCTGCCCTGGGTGGACGTCCTTCATTTCTAGCAGGAATCCCTCCCTCCCTCCCGCTCTGAGCCGTTCTCTCCTGGCGTCTCCTGGTGACAAACCTTTGGTGGCCGATTCACTAGGACTGAGAACCCACTTCCTCCTGTCTCCTGGGCGGCCGGAGCTTTCATCACGTCTTCAAGTCCTTTTAAGGAGGGGACATTGCTCCCAACTCCATTCTTCAAGGTGCTAAAGAAAAAAAATAAAAGATGCAAAGATGAAGACCCGACTGCAATTGAGTGAGATTGAGACTCTGTGTCAGAGCTTTCCTCCTCGGTGCAGTGTCCCTGCGGTGTGACCTCGGCTGACCACTCTGCTTCACTGGGGAATCCCTCGCTCGCGCGGCCGAGCTCCCGCAGCCTACAAGGGTGCGCCACGCGTAGTCGATGCTCAACCAACGCTGGCGGAGCGGGTGACGGTGGCCTGGGCCACAAGCACCCTTCTCCGCATGACTCACCGGCTGGAGTTCCGGGCTGCACACTGCTGCTACGTCACCTCCGCGGCCACCCTGCATCTTCTCCCCTCTGCCTAGCCTCGGCCTTTGGAAGCTGCCTCAAGTCAGGGGTCCGGAAGCAGAAGCCCAGTTCCAGCACCCCGAAGTACGAAGGAAACTGCCCAGTCCAGGCTCCCGGGGGCAAGCGTCTGGCCCCTCGCCTGCTCCCAGGTGGGGAAGAGTCAAGTGCATGGGCCCCGAGCTCTTAGGCATCAGTGGGGCAGGGGAGTGTCCTTGAAGAAAAGGCGTCAGGTACGGAAGTTGGTGTCGGACGAAAGAAATTGTCACAGGGGGCCCTTAGCAGGCCTTGGGGACCTGGACGGCTTCTCTCGGAGGTGGCTTCTACAGATGTGCTGGCTGCCACGGGCCCCCCGCCTGGTTCAGAGGAGCAGCCGGGGCACCCCGCTGGAGACATGCAGAACCCCTGCCCAGGCCCACGGAGTGGCCTGTACTGAGGTCCTGGGGGCCGAATTGTGGGCCCATGAAATCCGGTGACTCTCCCGCAGGTTTATGGCGCTGACCTAGAGTCTTGCTTTGGCTCCGCGGCCCAGGAGCCCTGCAGCTGCCGTTTGACCAGCCTGGGGGCGAACCCTCCTCGGCTGCCCTCAGGACAGGGTTGGGCTCGCTGCCCACCAGGGCCACAGGGTGCCACCCGAGAGACCAGACTCTGGAATTCGGACCAGGCCCTGGCTCACAGCAGGTTCTCTGCACTGAGGGAGCAGGTGGCATCCCAACTCAGCCCGAGGGGACCTGCCCTGCTCACACAGAGCGTGCGTGGGCGGGGAGGGGACTCCTGGCCCTCCTCAGGGGGAAGGGGACGGAGCAGAGGCCACCTGTGTCCTGCCTGCCTCCCCTCGGGCCTCAGCAGGGCCACCTGAGCGGCTGGGACCCTCGGCCAGGGACGGAGGACGGGTGCACGCTCAGCGCTGCATCCAGGGACTCCCCGTGGGGTCCCCGGGTGCACACCTGGTTCCTTACCTGAGAGCAGACGTGCAGGGACCTCCTTGCTCCCTGCCTCACGCCCCCCGAGAGGGCTTCCTTAGCCAATGGACGGCTGGGTTACGACCCTCAGGCCGCCGCTGGGGCGGAGGGCAGCAGGACAGAGGAGGGTCACAGGGACCATCCCAAGCTTACGTTTCTTCCCCTGGAAACCAGGCCGCCTCTGCCCACGCAGACCCCTCCTGGGGAACAGCTCCACTCAGCACGCCCCAGGAGCCATGGAAGGAACCGGAGGCCAGCCTCCCTGACTCCACCTAGGGCTGACTCGGTCCTCTCCCCATCGGCATCTGGACCAGGTAATTCCTAGCTGGGGGCCGGGAAAGGTTTGGGGGAGCCGTCTCCTACTCCCACCCCTGAGATGTGGCCATCGGATACGTGTTTCCAGATGTTGAAAACGTCTCTCAGGGGCGCAGGTGGCCCCCAGTCTTGAGGGCGCGGGGCGAATGGAGCCCCTTTTTCTTTGGAGCAACGGGAAGCAAAATCCAGACTCTGGAGCGGTGTCCCGCCCGCAGGAAACCCGCGGCCTTTGGTTTGCCTGGCCGCTGCTGCCCCCTGCCCTGCCTTCCTTCAAGCCCTCATTAGAGAACCCGCTTGTCCCCCCGCCCTCTCCCCGAGAGCTTTTCCAGATCCTCTGCCGGCCTCTGACGGGGGGCTGTGTTTCCGGTAAAAAGGCCCCACAAACGGGCTCCCTCCTGCTCTCGGGGTTCCAGGGTGCCCTCCAGTGGCCAGAAGCCGCCATCCTCTGGCTCCTCCACATTCCAGGCAGCTCTGGAAGGAACTGCTGTGGGGGAGGTGGAACCTTCTAGAAAACCCATCTGCTCACAGAGCCAAGCCTCCATCGTGGATCCCCAGGCCGCCTCCAGGAGTGCGCTGTGGGGCACGTGGGAGAGAGGCGTTTCCTACGGCCTGTGTGTGTGTGTGCTTGTGTGTGTATGTGTGTGCTCGTGTGTGTGTGTGTGTATGTGTGTGCGTGTGTGTGTGTGCTCGTGAGTGTGTATGTGTGTGCGTGTGTGTGTGCTCGTGAGTGTGTATGTGTGTGCGTGTGTGTGTGTGCTCGTGCGTGTGTGTGCGTGTATGTGTGTGCATGTATGTGTGTGTGTGTGTATGTGTGCTCGTGGGTGTGTGTGTGTGTGTGTGCATGTGTGTGCTCGTGGGTGTGTGTGTGTATATGTGTGTGTATGCGTGTGTGTGTGTGTGCGTGTGTGTGTTCGTGGGTGTGTGTTTTCAAAGCCTGATGGACAAGAGGGGACTGAGCACCACTGAGCCCTGAGCGCGATGGCCTGGAGGGGGCAGGGGCGTCACGGCCGTCAGGCAGCGGGCATTTGCCCACGGAGCACGTTTAAGTGAAGGCGTGATTCTGGCTGGAGGGAGGAGAGGCGTGGGGCACAGGGTGGCATCCGCCCACCTGTCACTCTCTCCAGGTTAGGTGTGGGGGGGGCACTCTGCTCTCGGCACTAAAGCGCAGAGGACTCAGAGCAGGTTTGTCACCGGCACAAGTCCCCTGAGTGCCAGTTCTCCTCGGGTCTAGAGGGCACCTCCTTATCACTCTTGCTGAATCGCACACGGCCAGTTTCCTGGACAGCCTGCTGCTCGGGAGGACACCGTGTGGCCTCCGTGTCCCTCCGTGCTGGAGCCCTGGGGCCTGCCCAGGCTCTGGCTAGTGGCTGAGCTCAGCTGTGTCTTGCTGAGTGACTATCCAAGGCCAGGAGGAGTGGGGTTGGCCAGACAAAAAGGGAAGAGAGAGAGACCAGGGTCCAGAAACACGCGGGCCCTGATGCCCAGCGAGAAGACGTGTCCCACGGGGAGAGGAGGGCTCAGATGGACACAGAATGGAACTGCGAGGTCACCGAGGGTTCAAGGTTAAGGGAACAACTGATCTTAACGTCCCCAGGCATAATCTGTTTTTTTGTGGGGGGGGTTGGGGGTACCAGGGATTGAAATCAGGGAAGCTTACAAGTGAGCCACCTCCCCAGCCCTATTCTGTATTTTACTTAGAGACAGGGTCTCACTGAGTTGCTTGGCGCCTCGCCATTGCTGAGGCTGGCTTGGAACTCACGATCCTCCTGCCTCAGCCTCCTGAGCAGCTGGGATGACAGGTGTGGGCCAGTGTGCCCAGCTAAAGAAAATGTTCCCAGCCATGGTCCCGAAGTTCCACCTTGCTTTTCTTAACAGATATGCTCTCGTGCCCTTTACCACCCTGAAACGAAATCTATCTTAAAACTATAACTTAACCTACTCATATAATGTTTTAAAGAGCGTGATGGCCCAACTCTAGTATAAAGGAGAAATCAGAGAAATGCTCTTGGTAACATCATGTGCCTAGGCCTGGGCTCGTTAGGAGACGTGATGGAATAGCCACGTGCTTGCAACTCAGAGGGGGAAACACTGAGAGATAAGAGATGTCAGATAACCTCCAGCCAAATCTGCACATCTGTATGGGATGGCCCTGGAGGCCGCAGGTCACGTCTAGACTGTTATCGGTGTGTTGTTTGGGTGTCCAAGGTGCCCTGAGAAGCCTGGCCACTGTCAATTTTACTTTTCAAGTGGAGAACAGCTTTCCTATAGAGAAAAAGTACATTAATCCCTTGATTTACATAGTGGTTGCTTTTCTAGAAAGTTTGATACCTATTAAAACTGCAGAAAAAACATGCTGTAGTTGTATGTAGGTGAAGAATTCTGACAGGGCATAGAGAGAGAGCTTGTGTCTGCTCTGTGCCTCATGGGGTCCCTGATGGAATGTCCAAAAGCTGAGGTCCTGAGCACCTGAAGTGAGGCAGGGCCTTCACGATCCACTTCCTGCCTTGGTCGGCTTTTCATTGCTGTAACATAACGCCAGAGAAAATCAGCTGAAAGGAAGAAAGGTTATTTGGCTCCTGGTTTCATAGATTTCCATCCCTCGGATTCGCTGGTTGCTTTGGGGCTGGGGTGAGGCAGCTCATCGTGATGGTGGAGAAATGAAAGAGAAGAAGAAACCAGGGTCCCAATGCCCCTTTAAGGGCATGGCATTGACCAACTGTCTTCCACTAGGCTCAGCTTCCCAACCGTGCCACAGGCTGGTGACCAAGCTTTCCACACGTTGGCCTGTGGGGGACTTTGGAGATCCAAACTCTGTGGCACCCACCCAACTGGGAAGTGGGTGCCGGCTGTTGGCTGGAGGCCCCAGTTCTTCTCTGTGGAGACTCCTCCTCAGGGCTGCTTGAGCGTGCTCTCAACATGGCTGCTGCCTTGCCCCAGAGCTAGCCATCCAAGAGACGGGGAGGGACAGACAGAACAACCGTCCTCCTCGCTCAGACCCCAAATTGAGCCAGCACCATTCTTCGGAGAGGGTCCCTGAGTCTGGGCCACACTCCAGCGGGGGGAATGAGGCTCCGTGCTTTCTTTGAAGGGCGCGTCAACAGACTGACAGACATATATTAAACACACAGCCGCTCAGCCGCAGAGCGCTCGCCTTACCTCACGCGCAAGCCCTGGGTTGGATCCCCAGCACTGCCCCCGAGACAGCTCAGAAAACTCAGAATTTTGCCTACACGCAATCTAATGATCCCATGTGAGGTGCGGGAGGGTCCATCCTGTGGGCCAGTCCCCCAGATGACAGGGTGTCTGACACCCTGGGACCCCACGCCTATGCCACCAGCACTTCTCGTCACCGTGGAAACCAAAAGCATCCCCTACGTTTCCACAGTGGCTCCCCCTTGACAGCTACCCTCGAGGGCAACTGAAAATTAGGGATAAGGAGCAACGAGAGCAGATCCAGGCTTTACGATCCCTGCAGCAGAAGTGCACAGGGGAACCTCCCATGGCTTGGACATTGTGCCCGTCCCTCGCCACCCCGCCACTCCTCCAGCCTGGCTCCCCGTGAACACCATGAGAGGAGACGGCCCGGGGTTCTCCGGGTTAGTGGCTTGTGCTCAGGGCCTTTGCACCTGCCGTTGGTCTCCAGGACTCTCCTCTGACTCCTAGATGTGCTCACTGCCTCTCGGGATGCCACCTCTTTTTCCTGGAGAGCTCCCTTTGCCTCTGTGGAGCGGTCACTGCCGT